TGTATGAACAGTTGGTGGAGTTGGGATATTGTATTGATGGTGCAGAGAGATCGGATATCAGTGGGTGCACAACGCGATAAAACTTCCAGATCACAGGACATGACAACTGGATGAAAGTTATTTGAAATCNCTCTGTAGATGGAGCTACACCAGAACGACTAAAGCGCAGCGTTTCGGATTGTCTACAAGTCACGAGTCGCAAGATTGCTAATATTGCAGAAGCCATTGCTATCAGCTGATGGAAGCCCCCCCCCCCTTGTGTCAACAAAAAGAACTTTATGTTCGTTTATCCTTGCCTTGGTGACATAGTCCTTCTACCCCTTTCCTCTTTGATGTTTTGTCTGTTTTATTATATTTTGCTATACTATGTTTCCATGCTAAAGCGATATCATCATCATCATCACCATCATCATCATCATCATCATCATCAGCAGCAGCAGCAGCAGCATCAGCGTACAGCGAAATACCGTGAAGCGAACTTCACTGACCGCTGCCAAACTCACAATGCAAGGTTAGTGGTAAAATTTAAGTTGGACGTGGGTTGGATCTAGTTTGAGGAAGGGGGAAGAAGATGAGCCACTATGGTCAACACAGAGTACGCAACTGAACTCTGCATACATACCGTTTCAAGCATTCAAAGCTGATAAGAAACGACAACAAGAACGCCACTGCTACAGGTTCGCTGCCATATCCTTCCATGTCTCCAACCAAGCAGTTGTGGAGTCTTTCGGACCCAACCTGGAAGACGAGAGACACCTACTCTACCTAATGGCTCTGTGCATTTCTTCATGCCTCGTCCTATATAAATATTGTATTTTCTGCAGTATGCACCGAGTTCAGATGCAGCGAAATCGTCCTGGACATAAATCGTGCAGTGCATTGCAATATGGTCTTTTCTTTTGAAATCAACATCATCCCAAAGTTAAACTGAGTACTGGTTTAAGAATGGAAAACATTGCAAAACAGAATTGAGAGCAAGAACGATAGAATTTCACTTTTTAAACTCCGTAGTTGTGGCGGTGGTTCGGAGACGCATCTGCTTCCCATTTTTTTTAAGGACCAACTGTTACTGGTTATCGAAACTGGTGATTAGAATGCGGAGCAGTGAACCAACTTCATTGTATCGGAGTAGTACAGTTTTGAATTGAACCGGACGAGGGCAGAGCTATCTATCTATCTACCCCGGAAATTGTGCGGCCTCGGCAGGGACTTGGGCAAGCCAGCAATAGAGATTTGAATCCTGCGACTATCGTTTCACGGGAGAGATGTGCTCCATGAATCGAACAGAAAAACGGCGAGGATCATCAAATGGTTTCAGCTGGCTGAGGGAGAGAAAGGAAACATGGACGCAACAAAAAACCGGTTTGCAAAGAAATCAATTCGCTTATTTCGACTACGGAACTTTGGCTACTTTGTCTGGATGAACAGCTTCCTTGTACTGCATCGCCCGATCACTGATGACGCTGTTTGGGTGATAAAAAGAGACAAGTGCTTCGTTCCGGTCAAGTACGTACCGAATTTGACAAGCACTGACGATGTCACCTCGGCTGTTGATGACACTTTTGGAAACAAATTGCCAACTGCTCGGTGAACACTGGAAACGGAACATACCGAAGTCCTTCTGTCAGTTTACCGCCAAAACAGAAAATCACCCTTTTGAGGCTGAGCTTGTCAATTGAGTAAGGCGGCAAATTAGATGAATGTGTGCAATGGGATGTCAACAGTCGGAAGCAGAATGAAAATTGAGCACATGGTTCATACTATTTCTGATTAACTCCTCTAGTTGGTGGAGACAGATTGGTTCCGCAATGAGTGCCAGAGATTCTAAAGAATATGACTGTAAGAACCTTTTGCTGTTGTTTGGGTTTTGTGTACAATTGTATATTCAATAAATAAAAATTAATTGTTACTATTAACGTAATTGTTATTTATTCCCGGTTCCATCTAAATACAGTTCACCACGCCGCAGTACCGTCTTGAGACTCACGTAGCGATTTACCCATCCCGTATTCGGGATTTGCTGCTTCCTATCCATTAGATAGGTCTGTGCCCTTCGAATTCGGTGATCGTTTGGCCCGATTCGCAACCAGAGTACGCAACAGGTTGCATGCATTTCCGCAAACTATCAGGATAAGGCGAACCCATATCGATCGGTAATCTTCATCTTGAGAAGTCTCCATACTTACAAAGGCCAGACGGACTGTCATGTGGATCTGGGATTGTGACAGTCTATCTGCTTGATATGAGATGCTTTCGGAAGCTGAGCAAAATGAAGACTTTCCTTTGTCTGTTGCGCGCAGCCCATATTAGCTTCATCAATATTAATAGCTTGAGACTATTTCTTTTGTTTTTACATTTGGGTAGTTGAAAAGAAAAAAATTGACCACATCAGTTGGATGCAGATGCCAGTGTTTTCATGCCAGCACTTTGTACCCTAACCAATTCAATCAGGATTGAAAAAATAATGATTTAGTTCCAAAAGATTATCAACATTCAAAGTGTTACAATGCTGGTGTTTCACAATTCAGTGAACCGTATCACACGCAACGGTATTCATATGGCGCTAGGACCCGGCCCGGTGAAATCGGCAACAGACAGCAGATTTTTCCGATAGACCACCTCTAAACGGGGAATGACAGCTCGCAGCGGCTGGACCGCTGATGTGTGCGCGTCCACCTCTCGGAAATCGGGGAGAACAGAATGATTTGCCAATCAGTGCCCAAAATCCCCATTGTCAAAATAGAGCGGCAATTTAGTCTGGTGCGGACTGTTCACCTTTGCCTCGTCCAGGTATGCACACCCATGCGGTTGACAAATCACTACCCGGCCTCCGGTTTCACGCTCGCATACCGGGCTGTGATAACGTCAATTCCAACGTGCCTCACAAATCGAATGCTCACAGACGAGCTGATCGATTTGGCATTCGACAAGAAT